ACTCTTCTATTATTTGCACTGTGGGCGTATAAAATCTGAAAAATTCGGATTTTATTCAGGTACTGTGCAAGTATTATGTATGAGCCTCACCCGCTAGAGTGGCCAAGAGAGGTAATCGTGCCTAACACCACTGTGATAGCTTATGCCATCACTCAGGATTCGCATATCGTTTAAGCGTAAGGACTATTTTGATGCTTCTGAGAAATTACAGAAATGGATTTTAATCGAAGATAAATGCTATGAAATAAGCGATGAGGTAAACTCAGCAACAAGAAAATCATGTCACAACAGTAGTCAGGTTCTCATGCCACAACAGTAACATCAAAGCAAAGTTGCTCTGTTTTTGGGTTACTGCATTATTCATGGCCAGTTCTGGTGAGATAGTTATTATTCCAGTGTGGTCGTTTGCCGTTGCGCACTCTGTCGAAGCGCCATTTGTTCTCGTTGGTCTGTTTCGTTCATGAAGAGAAGCTCAATTTCTTCGATTCGTCGTCCTCGTGTTTCCGGAGCAAAGAGGTAGAAAATGATAAAACCGACGAATGAAATACCCGCATACAAAAAGAAGGCACCTGAAATAGCTTGGAAATGTGATAGATTAGAATTTAGTCCCTTACAACCCGATGTGTCGCTGTGTGAAGTTCGACACTTATCCGACTATCGCTACGAGTAATCTCATGCAAATTAAATCGTCACTGCAGTTAGAAGTGGAGCGCTTAGTTAGATGAGAGTTCTAAAGGCTTATATTTCTGACTTTTGGGCTTGAGTGGCCAACTGGTCAGCGAGACGAGCAAACGCGCTCCGCGAAATCTACTAACTGCTGGACCGTTCTGTAATGTCCTATAGCTTTGTTAAGTTTTTACAACCAAATGCACTCCGACATTGCATTTCACTATTTTTCTCTGGTGGGCCGCTGTTTGGGTCTAGAAATTCTCTTTTCACCTCACGGGTCTGTGCTGGGCCAGCGGCATTGAAATTCGAGATTCAGAATGATGCGCCCATGGATTTCTGTTTTCTTGAGACAAATCGGTGCAACCTACCTCCAGTTATTCATTGCAGCAAAACTGTAAGTATTGCAAAGAAACTTATGATTTCTACAGCTTTCTAATTACATGACGTGGTGGCTAGAAGCAATTAATTTCTCTACGATTTTATTGTAGTGACTGGAACTAGCGTATCATCAGTCCTTGAGCCAAACTGTTTTCCAGTTTAGTTACTAGATTTCTGGAAAAAATTGGCGATAACGATGCTTGTTAGGGCGCACATTGTGAGCAGAACCGCTTCCAAGATCCCTTTTATAAAAGTCGGAGTGCGGAGAGGGGTTTGATTTTATTCAAAAGTTTTTTAAAAGTTCAGCCTTGAAGGAATAATGAAGTAATGTTTAAAAATGCTGGATGAGTATACCATATTTGGTGATAGTTTGGCTTAAGCTAAGAAATGTCAGCGACATCAGCAGACTGAACATCCAGTTGGTGAAAGTAGAGAGCGCGACGCATGTACTTCTCGCCCAAATCGGATATACCTCGGCATTGAATACCCATGGGATCGGGCCCATACCTGCAAAATGTTTTAACGTCCCATTCAGAACCTGCCTATCTGTGATTAAAAGTTGATGGTACCGGAAAGAAAGCAATTTTTTATTAGAATCCGTACATCTTTCATAAACATATACCAACTAAAATTAAAATTAAAATCCAAATAGTTTTGTTGAAGAGTGCGTTTAGAGTGCCTGCATTAATTGAACATAGTCTGATTTCGAAGCATCCAAGCATGCTTTACTGGAGAAGCTCATTTTCTGCCGAAAATTGTTATGGACCAGGAGGGAATCGAACACTAGCCGCATCAAGGCATAAACTGATGGTCGTGCTCTTTTGGAGAAGCTCTTTTCTTGATGAAATTTGTGAAAAGGGAAA